TTTGCACATTATGTTGATAGCAGACATCACATGGAAAATAAAGAGAACAAGCTCCATCTCTAGCCTGGTGATAAATGTTAATACCTGTTTTCAGAAGGAAATGCTATGAGATTTTGTCTTTCCATTTCTCATCTTTAAACTAATAAAAGAAGAAGAAAATTTTATAGTAAAGTCCTACAGAGTCTAATTTTTGTTTTTCCATGTGATGAAGATCAACTCAAGTCCATATGAAGATGGTTGGATTATCAAGATCAAACCCAGCAGTCCATCAGAGTTAGAATCCTTGATGGGTCCAAAGGAATACACCAAATTCTGTGAGGAAGAAGATGCTGGCCATTAGAATCTGGACCATACTTTCTGTAAGCCTAATATTTTCTGTTTTGTTGATTACTGTTAAAGAAGTTCAATCTCCAATTTGACAATCAGCTTCTTCTTCTTCTTCTTCTTCTTCTTTTTTCTTTTTTGTGCTAATTTCCTTTTTTATTCATGTTATGTCTCCTACTCATCATTTCACTTCCATGACTTCTGCATGTCTTTGCAATGATTCAATCTTTCCTTCTATAACATTTGTTCTATCAACTAGTGTATCAAATCTCTGATTATGACTCAATTAACTACCTGAAGCTACTAAAAAATATCAAGAAAGGTCGATGGTGAAGAACATGATTCTATTAGGGTGAAGAACATGATTATTTTATACCCTTTTATCAAAGGAAAGGTTTTATTTTCTTACAATATCATTTTGATGTTAAAGTTACAAGGCTTATGCACACAACATAGAGCAAGAAAGCAAGGATCATGGCAGCTTGATGACGCAATGCATGATTTATTGTCTTACAATATGCTTATTGCTAGTGAACTTTGTGAAGTGAACAAAGGATAAAGCAAGAGAGGAGGATTTATGGCAGCCTGGTGACTTTTGCTAGGCAGTTGTCTGCAGGACTAGGTGTACGGAAGTACTCAGTTGGGCCTCTAGGATTAACTCGTTCAAGTCTGCCATAATACAAAAATTTCATATTCACTAAATTATTCATGAAGGCTACAAACCAGGAAACAATCTGACTCGTAGTTAAGTAGAAAATAATGGAGAAAAATGAAGGTTTGAAGCTTGGCCAAATCAGCTCCAGGGCAAATCCTGGTTCCTGCTCCAAAAGGAATAAAGGATCCAGCTTTGGGTCTTTGATTCTGCATGCATATGGTCAAGAAACAACTACTCACATTTCAAAGAGATTGGGAAAATAATTTATGATGAATGATCTATATGTTAATTTATACTAACATCCCTACTTGAAGGACTGAAGACTTGTGGACTGGGATAATTTTCAGGGTCCATGTGAAGTCCTCTGTTCCAAACCAAAACCTTCCAGCCTTTTGGCACCAAATAACCTGAAAACAACAATGCTTCTCTTTGGTAAAACTCAACAGGGCTTTTGGAAGTGAAAGCATGGGGAAGAACTAATTAAATTACTAACCATTGATGTTAACATAAACTTTTGCCTCTCTGAAAATGCATAAGAAAAGACTTGCCATACGCATTGTCTCATCAAATACCTAAATTAGAAGAAATTAACATGTATATGCTTTTGTTATAGGTTGAATTAATTGCCATATAAACATGACGTCGATTAAGTTCGACTTCTAAAACAATCCTGGGTTCATAGCTTGGAAAGATATTCCATTTGTCTAATCTCCTGAAAGGTCAAACCCTTTTGCATAGAAGGTCTTCTCTTAAAGATTTCCTCTTGCTCTTCCTGTAAAGAGCTAACAACGGCCTTAATTATATGATAAATTAAAACCATCAAACTCTCCTAAGATTGATTGCCATCCCACCTTAATTAGCTTTCTGCAACATTTCTGGGTTGTCATGCAGATAGATGGTTGCCCACATAACTGCATAAGCTGAGCTTTCAAGGCCGGCTAACAGGAGCATGAGTCAAAAGGAGATTATATGCTCATCCTCCAAAAACTTCTGTCCTGTCTCATCCTCAATTTCCATGAGCATATCCATCACCGTTCTCTTTTCCTCAGGGTCAATATCACTCTTTCTCCTTGCCTTCTTTTCGTCCAAGACAGATTGAAGGATGTTTTCCAACGTATTCCTTGCCTAATGCAACTGAATCAGACAATTTATCAAAGAGGTAGCTGGTTGTGATTCATTTCCATCATGGAGAAATTAACATTACCTTGAAGGCTTCGTGGAATGCAAAACCTGGGAAATTGGTGGCAACAGCAATCAACCCTTGGCTCAGATCAGTTTAATGCTCCTCTGCTGAATTAAGAATAGTTCCAGCACTAGACCCCAAAAAAATGTCAATGATCACCCTAAAGAAAACCCTCTCCATCTCTTTCAACAACTCAATGGAACGGTTCAAGCTTGCCCATTTCATCCAGTGCATGGATCACAATGTCCTCAGTATATCCAACATACGTGGACAGTGTTTCATGGCCATCGATTGAAGCTGATGTTAGCTGGCGCAGGAGCTTGTACTCAACATTCAGGAACTTATGGAATGATTCTTTTCCTGTTAATTGGTCTATGGATGGAGGGTAACCCTCTTGTGAATTTCTCATCATCAGCTAAGACCTTCTTGAAGATTTCTGCAGTAAAGACTATGACTCCTGGACTCCAGAATATGTGGATCGTATATATCCCAGTTCGACCATATCTGCCACCACCAAAGAGAAACACAAAAAAAGCTTAGCCAAGTTAGTTGATACTGACTACACCAAGCAGTTAATATTTGTGCCATGTGGGAAAGGTGAACCTGCTAACCAAGTTGTAGATGAAGGTTTCAGGGTTTTGGGATTTGAAGGCTTCGAGAAAAGACCACATGTTCCCTATCAAAGACCATCCATATCTCCTGGAGGAAGATTATGCTTCTAATTTTCTCCCAGCTTGATACCATAGTACCATGCATTCTCTCTTTTAAGAAAACCAAAACACGAAAACATAAGTTGTAAGAGTGCAAGAATCAAAGACATGAAATCTGAATCCATCTTAGTTTTTCTCTCTTTCTTCCTCTCTCGGACACAGAGCTCATATACTTTTGGATGAATTTATAGCCTTGATTCCTTTGGAGAAAGTCTTCTGTCCATGATGGAGAAGTTCTTTCATTGGATGCTACTATGTCAGCGTGTGTAAACAAAATAAAATAAAATAAAAATTTTATAAGTAGTATTCACTCCATTAACATAGTGACACATCAATATATTTGACTCGTGTTTTTTTTTTAAAAATAAATTTATAAGGGGTTGTTTTTTTTTAAACAAATTTATAAGGGGTTGGATTTGAACTTTTATTTTAAGAAAAAAGAAATGCACTTATACATAACCTGAAATTATTAGATCGAAAGGCTAAAGTGCAATCTATTTGACTCGTGTTTGTAATTAAAAAAATTAATTTATTATAATTTATTAATTATTAATTAATTATAAATAAAACTATATATACTAACGTGTCCCTATATTTATGAATGGGTAACGTGTTGGAGAGGAATTTCACCTCATGATGCCGCAATCAATGTTTTTTTTAACCAACTATCTATTAGTCTCAATAAAAGGAAATTTATTTTTTTAAAATAAAATTTCGAATTTAAGTTTTGTGAATGAAAAAATAGGTGTCGGGAAAGTTTTTCCCAAATGAAGTTTAACGTGGCTCAATTTTGAATTAATTAAAATATAATGTGACTATCAGATATCGGGATGTCAGTGCCAAAAAAATCAATGTTTTTTCTTCCCTTTCTTTCTTTTCTTTTCTTTCTTTTTTTTTTTTTCCTATTTAATTAAGACGGAAGTAACCAAAACTTTGGGGCTATTTGAGACAGATTCCATGTCCATTGCTATGCTGTTGAAAATTTTCTTTTGTTGTAAGAATAATAAACAACATTCTTTGATTCCTGCAACTTGCCTTATCACACTACCTTATTGTCTATCGGTCTCTTCAACAAAGAAAATGATTTAAGCACAATTTTTTATTTTTTATATAACTTTATATATTATTTAAATGATTAATTTTTTTATTTATTTAAAATATATGATATTAAATAAATTTATTTTTTTAATGACATATATAAGTTGTATAAAAAAATAATATAAAAAGATTTGTTAAACATTTTAAAAGGCTCATTGTTTCAAGTCAGTAATCAAGAAATCACTGTGATCTTAGTTTACATAATAATCAAATTC